TAACTGAATACTCTGATTCATCAAATTATCAGTGAGACAATGCAGTGTTATTTTGGAAACTCTTTGAATTTCTTCTGAATGGAATCTGAAGCTCTATGAGGTCTCAGTACGAACTTAGAATAATTTGACATGTATTTAGTTTTTCCACCCAAGTTTTCACTGATGTATCTTAACATCATTTTTTGGCCTTAAGAGTAAGTTGGTTCTTTTTTGATAAATGCGTGTGGTGGTGGCAGTGGTGGTTGTTAGTTGAAGCCGAGTTGGCTCCAAGTCATGGTGACTCCACGCACACCAGAATGAAACACTACCCAGGCCTGTGCTGTCCTCATGATTGGCAGCATGCTTGAGTCTGTTGTTGCCTTCCAACCTAGAGGGCTCATCTTCCAGCACTGTATCGGACAGTATTCTGTTGTGATCCATAGATTTTTCATTGACTGATTTTCAGAAGTAAATCACTAGGCCTTCCTTCATAGTATGTCTTAGTCTGGAAGCTCTGCTGAAACTTGTCCACCCTGGGTAACCCTGATGGTATTTGAAATACCGGTGGCATAACTTCCAGCATCATAGCAACATGCAAGCCACCACAGTACGACAGACTGACAGACCAGTGGTGGGTAAATGTATAGGGTTTTTAAAGGGCATAGCTATGGAGAGAGGTGAGGGGTCTTGAGTGCCAGCTCTGCCTCTTACTAGCCTGGGCTCCAGTGTAGTGGAGATGATGCTCGTGGACACGGATGGTGCTTCTCCGTAGCATTATTGTGCTTAGGACTGTGCCTGGCATGCCCTACACAGAGAAGAAAGGCTTCTCACTGACATTCTTATTTTTATTTAGATCAAGCTAGTGAAGAAAAAAAGCGACTGGAGGAAAAACAAAGAGCAGCCCGCAAAAACAGGTCCAAGTCAGAAGAGGACTGGAAGACGAGGTGTGTGGCTGGTCCCTCAGACAGGCTTCTGCATGTCAGTGAGGCAGGGGAGTGGGGTGTTAGCCAATGCAGAGCAACAGTCTGTCTAGCATACACCCTGCCGAACCGGCCCCACCCAGGTCTGAGAGAAAAGTTATTTCCACTAACCTATTCTCAGTATTTGAGCTGAAAGAGTTGTATGAGTGACAAAGAAAAATGGCTGTTTAGAAATTAAGGTTAAAATATTTCCACACAGTTATAACAGGTAAATGTCAAGCCAACTATCTCTCTTATCCCCTAAAACCTTGTCTCTTCTATATAAGAGGGAAGTTAAAATCCAGAAGTACAGATTTTGGTGTGAAAAGTGACTACAGGGCCATTTGCTTTAACCAGCAACAGGGAAAACCCTAAGAGAAAAAAAAAAATGCTTCATAGTAAGCTAATTCCTTTACTTCCATAGCCCGTTCCTGCTATGGTGATAATAGGAACATTTGGGACTTAGCAAACAAATCTAACTGCACTCTAATAAATATTTTCAGAAGCAGTTTGGAAAGAATGGCAAAGACATATAAAACTATTTTCATAAATGTTACCTGAAAACTAAATCATGTTTATAAAATGTTATACAAATTTGTGAACCTTTTAAGTAAGTTTGTATTTCTGTCACCTAAGGAAAGCTGGGGCTGTGGGAAATGGGTAAGGTTTTTTTTTAATGCAAGAAAATAGCTAGGGCAGCTCCTTCTAGAATTAGGTAGGACATGTGAGGATGTTAAAAGCTAGATGCACCCTAAGAATCCATATTATCATTGAGGAAATCGAGACCCAGAAAGATTTGGATTAGATGAATTTCGCTGGATTCTGTGTAGCACAGTGTATTGAAAAAATGACGGTCTTTAAAATTAGACCTAAGTTTGCTATCACTTACTAGCTTGGGCAGTTATTTAACTTCTCTGACACTCAGCTCAGTTGTAAACTGGAGCTTTAAGAACTTGGGCGAAATAAACAGCTCGGAATTCTTTTAGATAAAAATATTAGAACAGCAGCAGCCTGCAAGTAAAAACATAGTGTCTCATCCTAATTCAGCATGAAGATCCTTGTGAAAATGGGAACAAACAAACAACAAAAAAAAAAAACGAAGATTTGGGGGGCATTTACTGTGAACCAGACACCTTACGTATTCCTTAAGCATGTTGTAAAAGTTTCCTTTCCTTTCCAGTTGCTTAAATCTTCTAGTGGGAAATAATGAGTGGGGCTGGAGATTAAACTAATTGGACCAAATATATTGGTTCTGTCAACTCTACTAAGAAGATCCTACTTCTGTTAAGTAGTATTGCTAGATGCTGTGGGACATTCATAAACCTTTTGCTTGGTATCATTGCTTCTTTTGGAATATTGTTCTACACACATGTTCCTTAAAGAGAGAAACAATATCACTTTTTCAAAGTCTCTCTGGAAATGCCTATCAGCTCCCAGCAGGAAGAGAGGAAGAGTTGCAGCAGTAGGGAGACACTGCACGCTGGTGAAGAAGCAGAGACCCTGGGATTTCCAACAGTTTCCCTCATAAATCTTGTCCTTTCTCTTTAAACAGGTGGTTCCATCAAGGTCCTAATCCCTACAACGGAGCACAGGACTGGCTTTACTCGGGCAGCTACTGGGACAGAAACTACTTCAATTTGCCTGACATTTATTAAAATGCAGACAAGTCAGGGTGGTTGGCTAATTTACAAATAAGTCTTAAACCTATGTTTTAAAAAATTGTTTTTTCTTTATTTCTACTCATCCTTTAAAAAAAAAAAGCCCACTCGTAACTTGCATTTCACCAAACGAAAGTAGGGTACAAAGTGATTTTGGTGATGAAAGTCTTAGGAAGAACAGATAATTTTGCTATCCAAACATATTTAATTTGGAAAACTATTTTATATAGAGGTAAGAGAAACTGTTGGGGAATATGCTTTTTATGGTTGCCATATTTACTGAAGGTCGATACCTAAATATAACATTAGCTTTATAAATTCTACAGTAATCCCAAATCAGGTTATTTTGAATATTTTTATGCTGTCATGCTTGAATGTTTTCAGTGTAACTTTGAGATGTTTAGAATTCTCCTATACAATATTTATGTGCTCAAGTGTAGAGAAGGTTATATCATTTTGTAAAAACTACATTGATAAGATGGCTTCTTCATACTAATCCTCTCAACTTTACCCATCTTCACCTCTAAAAACAAAACAAAAGCCTGAATATTCACAATAGATATTCCTGATTTGAAAATTCTAAAGAATTAAAGTGGAAAAGGTATTTCATTTGTTTATTGTAGTGCTGTGAATTTACTTTTATAATTGTCTGTAATCAATGTCATTAGAACTATAAGACATTTGAATTGTACGTTTGAATTGAAAATATGTATAAAATAAAATCTAGCAATTCACAAAAATTTTAATCATCATTATTACATAATGACAAGCCCTTTTAAATGCTTCAACTTCAGTGGCAAGAGCCACAGAGAAACTAAGTTGCACTCATGTATATAAGTATCAAACCATAAAAAGGAGGTCTTGCGCATTTCAAGTTTGCAAGGCACCTGTGTACTTAAAATATGTATGGAGACCTACTGTACAGTAGCTTGGCCCCTTTAGTTGGGGTACATTAATCTTACGGTATTTATCCACTCACACAAACCCCAGACTGAAACACTGCTCCAAAGGGCCTTAGGTAGATGTCAGTAAATTATTTTAACTGCTGTCTTAAAGTTAACAAGTGTTATAATGAAATAGTTTACCTAATGCTAAATAAAGGCTTTAGAATGTTCCCTGAAAGTGTGGTTTCTTTTAAAATTTAAAGTATACTAATGCTGCCAATTAATACTGTCCTGAATTATCAAGAGTGTTCTTACAAAGAAGTCCTTTTGGTGCCTCAGTCCCCAAGGGCCAGAGAGAGGTAACCAGGCAACCAGGTAGGCAGTTCGCACTTGGTAAATGCTCTCTGGGTAAATGCTGTATTGTGGAGAGGTACTGTTGTACTTATTTGATGTGAATACCAATTAGGGAGTGATTAAGTGGGAGCACTTGGCGAGAAAACTTGTGACTAGATCTGCTAGAATGGGAATGGTTAATTTTTTTTTTACATAACATACATGAGTTGGAAAATGCTGTTGCTTCACAAGTCTGAAAACATTTAAGGCCTTTGCGTTAGGTTGCTTGCATACCTTCTAAATTATACAAAAAATAGCAAGAATACAGGGTTTATGCTTGCATGAAGTTTATTGAAATAGTACGCTTGGTGGTAGACTCCACCTTGAATGACGACTCAGACAACGTCATTTTCAGCATCTGTTAGGAATAACATAAACATTGAATTGTTTAGATTTAATGATGACACTGAACATGTGAAATGAGTGGAAGGTCAGAAATCCAAGATCTGCCCTCCATCTGCTCTCTGTTACTAAGCTCTTAACTAATCTGTTGGTTACCTGAAGTAAAATATTCTAGCATTTCATGCTGAAAACAGCCATTTGACAGCTCCACTAAAAGTCCATGAAGAGGATGAATAAGTAGTTTACTATATGGAGGTGGCATAAATGCATACAGCCCTAAGACATTTTGATAACTCAGAGTTGTCTGTTCTTAAATCTAGCAACTGTAGTACTCACACCTATGGATGACATCTGGCTTTCGTCCGTCTCTGAGATATTCAGAACTTGAAAGCAAAACAAATTGTTCTAAGTAACTGAACTCCTGGCGTGAACGTATAACACTTGTATTATGTACGCCTAATGTGTGTCTCTGCTATCTCTGCCTCTGCTTGACTTCTAATCCATGAATCTGATTATATCATTCTGCTGCATAAAACATTAATGCTGGCTTCCCATCAAACTGTAAGTCCAAATCTCTCTCCTAGCCCTACTTAACCTCTCCCAGCTTCATCTTTTTCTTATATACTCTCCCCCGGCTCCTCCCAGGCAGTCTTATTTGGGCCTGTTTTAGTTTCCTGACCCTCCAAACTCTTTCCTGCCACAGGACTCTTCCTGGAGGCTCTCAGGTCTGGTTCCTTCTCATACTCGGGCATCAGTTTAAATCCTCTCACGGAGAACGTGCCTGAACACTGTATCTAATGGCAGCTGTTAAAGGGGGGCCTATAGCAGTCCCTGTTTGTTTTCTTCATGCACATACTGTAATTTACTTTTTTGTCTGTTTCCGCCACTAAGGTGTAAATTCCATGTTTTTCTTACTCTACTATACGCAGGTGGGGGGGGGGCAGCACAGTACTTGGTGTTAAGTACCAGTTGAATGACAAATTGAAAAATGATCTGTGAGTGATAAACTGCCTTACTACAGTTAATTCCATTTGTCACCTTAGTTCTTTAATGTGTTTCCAACCTGTCTGTACTACTGTAAATGTTCAAAACTCTTACTACATTGGGTGCTCCATATAGAATCAGCAGTTATGTTGCTCTCCCATGGGTCCGAGCCTCCATGTCTTATCTGTGCTTCTCCCCACTCATTAAACATGCTAACTGGATGATAAGGTTCCCATATAAGACTATTATTTTTTTTATAAATCCATCCCTGTTAAGCCTCTGCCATGATGCTAGACACAGAACAGGTATTCAAAGGTGACTGAGTTCACTGGCTGATTGGTTCTTATATTAGGCACCAAATCCTTGGTGTAGGTCATGGTGGTGCAGTGCACCTGCTGTGCATTTATCAGAAATTGGTGATAAGCTGAAGAGACAATAACCATGTCAAGTTAGAGTATACCCAGGTCACTGCATACTATTATCTCAATTCAACTTAATTTTTTTTTTTTAAATATCTCAATCTCCAGGTCAGCAAATCAAAATGCTGAAAACTCAAGCATGTTAAGGGCCGTGTATTATGGTAGGAAAATTCACCTACCAGTTTTAAGTTTCTGCTCTGCGAACATGGGCAGTAGTCACGGTAATTTCTCCAGCAATACCGTAACTTCCAAAGGGAGTGCGTTTGTCACCAGATCCTGAACTTTTTTTGGCTACATCTTCTACTGGGAAAGCAACAGAAAGAAAAACTGGGCTTTGTGGTCGGGGGACATCTTGTCCACTTGTAGGAGGACTAGCATTCTGGGAATTTGGGGTATGTTTCTGGAATTTTTGATCTGCAGGAACAGCAATGGGTACTTGTACTGCAGCATATCTCTTCAAGGTATCTGACTGTGAAACAACAGCATGTCCAGGAAGAGGTTTCCAATCCTGTGCTTCCTGAACATTTGAGCCTACTAAAATAAAAGGTGGCGCACTGGTCTTCTTGGTGTCGTCCATCATCACATAAGTTGGAGAAGTAACTTTCGGTGGATGCTGCAGAAACTGTGGATCCTTAGAATTAGATAAATAGAGGGTTGCCTGGGGTAAAGGCCCAGGTGCAGGTGGCGGTGATGGGCGACTTTGTTGATTCATATCAGCTAGACAATAAAGGGTCCACATGTTAGAATATGGTGGTGGTTGTCCTGCTTCGCTTGCTGCTATCGCTATAAAAAAAAAAAAAATTTGCAGGCATTAAAGATTCGGTCTCTGTATCAAGCACTATGCACAAAAATGTCTTTGTAAATCTTTTTTACATATAAACAAACAGCTGTGGTGATATGTGCCATAAAGCATGCTATAGAGAGGGCTAAGTAAATTGTGTTTGGTAATGTGAAAGAAGAGAGATTCTCTATAGCTGGAAAACGAGAACAGGGTTGTTCTGATAGCAAGTGGCAGGGACACTAGAGTTGTGGCTGAAGAAGCAATCTCATTCTAAGCTGCTGTTCCCAGGCACTTAAACTTTATAGACATGGCTTCCACAGGGTCCTCAGAGAGGAAATGGACGGTCAACAAAACTTCTGGCTTTACAAAAAAAATCAACTGAAGAGTATGTTAAGCCATTGAAAAAAGGGTTAATGCATCTGCATAGTGATTTTTTCTTTACTGGTGAAAGTTAGCACTAGGTGTCAACTTTTGTGCACATAATCAAATATCTCTGGCCCTTTACAGGCACCATTAGCTCCCATTAATCTGTCACAGATGCCACATAATCTAGGACTCAGCACCCCAGAGAGTACCCCTTATTATGGCAAGGTTTGAAATCATAGGTCCTGGGTGGCAGTAAAAGGCTAGTTGGCCCCACAGGGGTTCTTTAAGAAAGTATGTAGAGGTCTAGGTCTGCCATCCATCTGCTTACACCAAGGAGTCTATAATCTCAAGTTTGACTTGCCTAATGAAGACAGTACTGTCTTGGAGAACTAGTCCCAGAAGATGGGACCTAGGAGAAAGAAGTGCCTGATGGAGTAGTTTCGTTCTTTCACTTTGCCCAGATGTGTTGATGTCACCTTGGAACACTGGGCCATCTATCCCTGGTGCAGCCTTTTTCCCAGAAAATAAAATAACACTATGCACATGATTAAGCAGTTATGTTTTCAATAGCTCCAGATACTTTTCAATGGATCTTTCTTCAAGCTCATTAAAAAATATGTACAAGCCAAGTCTCCAGTTCTTTAAAGAGGAGAGCGAGTTTGCTAGCTCACTCAGTTTGTTGTTGTTAAGTAGCCTCTTCGTGCTGAGGCCAACTCTGTTTTGCTTCAGGAAAAGTTAAGCACTGGACAACAGTGACTCGGTATGGAAGTGCTGCTTAAGCCACAAGTGTAATGCCAGTCCCACGTGCTATACTCCCAACGCTGCCCTCTGCCTTTTCAGCTGTACAGAATCCCCATCACACTGCCAGACAGAATTTGATCTTTTCTAAACACCTGCTTTTGTAACACTTCTTTATCATCATCCTGGCTCTGGTAAGAATCAAAGTTGAGAGTGTTTCTGCAAGAGGAATGGGGAGATTGGTCATGCATGCCCCATCCATCCCTAAAGACAAAGGCTCCTGCGATTGCCTGCGTGGGGCAGCAGGGTGAGCAGACCAAGTCTCATAATTAGATCGAGACAGAGGTCAAATCACATCTGTGTCACAGGGAAACGGTGGCTGGTCAGCAGCTAGGAAAGCAGCTTGATTTGGGCACTTGTCGAAGGAACTGATGGAAGGAAGCCAATCATCTGAACTGCATCCATTGTTGCTCAAGTGCCTGGCGATCCTTTCTGCTGCTCATCCGTCCCTGGTCCCCTGTGTGACAGAGGTTCAGCCTGACCTTTCCTCTCCATCCAGCTATGAAGTTGCTCTCTCAGCTGCAGAAGCTCCCAGGCAGGACATGCATGCTTGACCCAGCACCCCAAACCTGGTTGCAGAGCTCTCCTGCCTCAGTGCGAAAGCAGTCAAACACACCACCATTTCTTTCACTCTTTTTCCTTCTCCTTTTCTTAAGAAGTGGAGGAGGTTAAATGCCATGACCTATGTAAATGCACGGCTATAGTTTGATCTTACATTCACAAGTGAAAAATTTCAAACCAACAACCCCTAAATAGTTTTGTAATAGGAGCACAAAATAGTTAGATCCCATGAGTATATTTTTTTACCCAACAACAGGCTCTAGTGTTTTTTAAAACATAATGTGTCCAAAAGAATAGCACAAAAGTGCTAGATGACCAAACTTGGGGATGTCACTTTAAAATCACTCACCTCATGACTGTAAAATCTAAAATACAGCAAAGCATTTAAGTAGGTTTGGCATTTAAAAAACTATTGAAAATAAAGACACTTGATCCAATCTGAAGGGAGGCTACCTAGATGGTTACCTGAAATACAGATGTCACCTGAAATGCAATTTTTAATTGTGTAAGTATCTAATTTTCTTACCTGGCTCCATCAAACCTTGTTCAGGTGCTGCTTCCTCTTCTGGTTCGATTTCTGGTTCTGTAAGACCTTCTGGAACAGGATTGGGGGAGCCACTAGATGATTTTACAGATGTACTTGAGTGTACATCTTTTGCAGATCCCCCAGAGAACACAGGGTTGGCCTCCATCTCCAGGGGGGCAGAGTTTTCCCATGACTCATCCTGCCCAGTATCATCAGAGACTACAGCACTGACCTCCATTTCAAGGTGCAGAGATTTCTCAGAACCCACTGACTGGACAGAGCCCTCTGCATATTGTGCAGCCACCTCTTGCAGACCTTTCAAAGAGGTGTCAGAGAGCAGAACTGTTCCTTCTGCCTCCAAATGTACTGAGGACACATGTTTTTCATCCTCCTCCAACTGTACCGCGAGTTTTGCAGAATTTACCGATTCTGCAGACATGCCTGAGGCTGTCTTGGTTGCTACAGGTTTTGGACTAACTGGTGGTGACTGCTCGTTTTCTTTAAGACAAGCAACTTGATCAGTAAAAGGGATAACTATTTGTTCTGGCATTTGCTCGACAAAAACTCCTTCAGTCACAGGCACATCATTATATATAGATGATATATGAAGGGTTGATGTAACCTGAATATCAGCCTGAAAAGGGACTTCAGGAGGTTGATCATAAGCAGGAGGTTCTTGTTCATCCTGCAAGGGGAGTGGGGAAGCCGTTGATGGTTCAGCCTCATCGTCTTTGGGTTTAGGACCTGTATCTACATGGACAGACGTTTGGCTCAGAACCTGCATTGCTACCACCTCTCCAGAACACACAAGAGGAGGGGACACCACAGTATCTTCAGAAGCCTCTGAGCTCAGCACCTCCTCAGAAAGAGCAGGCATACTTGTTGCCACGTCCACCATTAAAACGTCAGATTGATCAGAACGAACAGACGAAATTTTACCTAACATCTGGGCAGCAAACTGAGCTGGGTCAGCTGGAACATAGGCAAACTCTGGTGGGACAGCTGCTGGAGATGGTGATGAGGGTGGGGTGGTAACCTTAGGAGTGGATGGTTTGGAAGAAGAACCATAGACTATTTCAGGTATGTCCACATGCTCTGAGAGTTCCGCATGAACTGACGGAAACTGGGTGGTTTTGTTGCTAAACAGTGGTTTGGATATATTGTCCTCCTCTGTGTCCGTAGATTTTTCCTTCCGTGTAGGTTCTGGGGAAATTACAGATGCTTTTTCTGGTTCTTTTACACGTTCTGGTTTCTTCTCTAGTGTCGTTCCTTGTGACCACCTCTCAACTGAAAACATCAGCCAGAAGGGTTAATCAGCATATATTCCCCAAAGAAAGAATTTTAAAGAAAGTAGCAGTAGTTGAATATTCAAAGGTCAAGATACACATAAAGAGTTTGGCTTTATTTTCCAATACCTGTGACTTAGTGGGGGTAAGGAAATGTTTCTGTCCTTATCTACTCAAAAGACCCTCCCTCTGTTGGTTCCCTTAGAAACAAGTGACTACAAAGCACTGTGGCAAACCAATCAGCAGATACCACCCTAAGCCTGTCAACATGAGGACAAAGATCCGAACTCTGTGCCTAGAAATCAGGAAGCTGAAAACCTCTGCGGACAAAGTTCCTGATCCAAAATTCCACACAAAACTGGGAGAAGGAAAAAAAAGAGCTCTTCAACCTGGGCAATAAATTATCTAGTCTTCAGCTGGTAAAAGAATAACTTACTAATGAAGCAGATGCTATTACATTAATAAAGGCATTCCTCAATATACGAAAATTGGTGCCTAGAGTTTACCTTCATTAACTGGTAAACTAGGGCACTCTAGGATCTTTTTACATTAGAATACATCACATATTCTAACGTAAAAGTGACAGCACCTGGCATTTGTGTGCTAATGCAGCCAAAATTGTACTGATCCAGACAAGAGGAGTAGAAAGGGATCTCTGGATCCACAAGTATGGACTCAGTGACTCCTCAGGCAGAGCGAAAATTCCCATGGCTTGAAAGATCAAGACAGCGAAACTCCTAGAGCTGGAAAACCATTTTCTGGCTTGTCACCTGTCTAACCACCTTAGTTATTATGCCTCCAAAGTTTTCACATCTGCTTGTTCTTAGGGAAGCATCTCTTTAATATCATAGTGAAATCTGCAGGACGAGTAGGATTTGCTTTACAAGAATGTTTGAGTCGGGTCAAAACTTTACTGGAAGAGGCGTTTTCGTAGGTACAGCTGCTTCCCAAAGAACAGTGTCCTGCAGTGTCTCCCTCTAGAATGGTACTGAACTCTTTTACATTCAAGTACGATGTCTAATTCTGGACCATGGATACTACCAAATGCTCACATGTGGATAAGAGTTTTAAATAAAAGACAGAAAAGCCACGTCTACCCTTAGCTCTCTCTGCTTAGAACAGTAACCTCATTTTCCTAACCATTCACCTCTTCAGGACTTCCTCGCCTGCTTCTTCACAAAGCCCTGTCACCCATCCAGTGCGTGTTACCAAGTGCTTGCATTATGTGTAAAACAGGATACTAGGCACTGCTGAGAATATATACCTTATCAAGACATGACCTCATATAGCTTACAGTTCAGTAGGGGAGATAAAACAGATACACAAATATAGGTAAAAAGTATAAATACGTAATAGTGGTACTAAGAAAGACCTATGGGAGTTCAGAGGACAGAGAGAGCTACTCTGGCTGGAGGAATAAGGGAAAATTTTATTTAAGTAAGTCCAGCCTTGTGGAAAGGAGGAGTGTACTGTCACAGTATGGGGAGAGCAATTAGAGTCACATAACAATGTATGTATACATTTTTGTATGGGAAAAAATAAATAAGTCCAGCCTTGAGAGAGTTACTCTTACACTTAGGATGTAGAAAGTTGCAAAAAAAAAAAAAATGTTGCATCTGTCGTAATGAGAAAACACCAGATAAACCACAAAATCATTACATTTTGTTGAGCTATCACACAGCTGGGGTCATAAGACAACCAAGTAACCTGATTTCCAAAGAGGAGCCAGGACTTCCAAGGAGAGAAGGGACAGAAGAACTGTCTCGTCTGTGGTAGAGCACAGGAAGAAGAGGCTGACGCCATATTTGCTGGTAAGCTAAATCTTAAGATACTGTTAAAGGAACCCTGGTGGCACAATGTTTAAGCCCTCGGCTGCTAATGGAAAGGTTGGCAGTTCGAATCCACCAGTGGCTCCATGGGAGAAAAGGCCCGGCAATCTGCTCCTGTAAAGATTGCAGCCTAGGAAACCCAGTGGGGCAGTTCTGCTCTGCCATACAGGCTCACTACAAGTGGGAATAGACTCAATGCCACACAACAACAATAAAAGGCTAAATGTGGGCTAGGAAGTCAATCCGGAACAGCCTGGAACTCCACACCTGAGGGGAAACCCACCAGCCCTTGTCCAAGGGCCTCACAAGAAAGATACAGGTAGGCCAGAAGACCAGAGAGAGCCCCTGAATGGGGCAGATTGCAGGAGGTGACTGGCAGCTACCTGGTGGGGGAGGTGGGGTGGGGCTCCGGCCCAGGACCCTATACTAACACCAAGTACAGGTCTCCTACCTCTGGGGCAAAAAGTGGAAACCCTGTGGATGAATCGAAGCACAAGACCACAGATACAAGGCAGAGTTGGCTGCCACATGGGCAAAGGGCAGGAACACCGAGAAAGCCCCACACCTGAGGCCCAGGTGCACAGGGCCAGCCTAAACCTGAAGAGGACCCAGTGCAACAGACTCCCCCTGCCTTGACCAGGAGCCCAGTACTGAGTAACAAGCAACAGCAGGCTGCCACCAGAGCTTGGAGAGAAAGCCCCTCTGGTGCAGGCTTGCAGGGCCGGCTGAGAGCTGAGAAGGGAGGAGCACGAACACTGAGAAACACCTTCTGGCACCCTAGCCCCCACCTTCAGCACAAGGCAACAACAGCCCACTGCTAGAGGAATTTGAGGCCTGTGGTACACTGAAGGAGCCCTGGTGGCACAGTGGTTTAGAGCTCGGCTGCTAACAAAAAGATTGGCAGTTTGAATCTACCAGCTGCTCCTTGGAAACCCTATGGGGCAGTTCTACTTTGTCCTATAGGGTCACTATGAGTTGGGATCGACTTGATGGCAATACGTTGGTTGGTTGGTTTATTTTTTGGTACACTGAAGGTAATGATAAAAACCCATTGCTGTCAAAGTCAATTCTGACTCATAGTTACTCTATAGGACAGAGTAGAACTGCCCCATAGAATTTCCAGGGCTGTAATCTTTATGGAAGCAGACTGCCACATCTTTCTCCTGTGGTGGGTTTGAACTGTCGACCTTTTGGTTAGCAGTTGAGCACTTAACCACTATGCTACCAGGGCTCCAACAAAATCCAAACCCAACAACTCTTGACTAGATTGACCCCCTCACACACCCATTCAAGGGCCCCATAATCCTATTTTCCACCATAAAGTCTTAAATTCCTAAACTACTGGTTTATTTACCATGAGAGTTTTCAAGAACCTAACCAATTGGAGAGGGATTAGTGTAATCCCTAAATTGCTTGCTTGGGACCTATTTGATGTTAGTGACATGGTATGATTTAGGCAACTCCAGAAGGGCCCACTTGCCCTCACAGGCTTGCACCTGAAATTTTATCTAGGAGATTAATCTTCAGGCTTAACATTTTTGCCTGTTGAAGTCCTCTATTGAAATACAAACATTCTGGAAAGCTCAGGCACCATGTAATTATGAATTATTAACAATTTGTCAGGAAATTTGTGATGTCATTTTCAGAAATAAATGGTAAAAAAAAAAGTGTGTAAGAGGAGCTGGATTTCATGTCCTGGCTCTGTGATGTAGTAGCTGCAGGAGTTTGGCCACGTCAGTTGTTCTGAGCTTCAGCCTCATCTGTAAAACGGGGTTTACATTCTGACCTCACTGAGTTTTTGTGGAGATTAAATGAAATCATGGATTTGAAAGTGTTCTATAAGCCATAAAGTACATGTAAACGGGGAAGTGATACATCAATACTTTGTTTAAAAGGGATATAGAAAAGTTTTGAAAATGTGATATCGAATTAAAAATTATGAATCTCAAATGTCTTTGATTCAGCCCTGATTAAATTGGCTATTTCCTAAACTGGGTAGTAAAATGCAGGAGATAATACATACATTTACACATACACACACATTTATACACTCTTGAATACATCTATTTCATAATTTTAAAAAAATTAAGTTGAAACCAGATGCTTTAAACTTTAATAGCAGGTGACAAGTTTTTATGAAAACGCAAGGCACTATAGATGAACCGTTTAGCTTAGTTTAGAATACATGAGAGAAAGTTAGCAAATATGTACATACTAAAAAAAACAAAAAACTGTTGCCATCAAGTCAATTCCGACTCATAGTGACCCTATAGGACAGAGTAGAACTGCCCCATAGGGTTTCCACGGAGTGGCTGGTGGATTCAAACTACCAATCTTTTGGTTAGCAGCTGAATGCTTAACCACTGCGTCACCAGGGCTCCTACGTACATACTAGTTACCATAAATGTAACTTAAATCTGTACTGAGTTTCTGCTGTTATCTGTTTATTAAGGGTAAAGAACTTTTCTCTAATGTTTTAAGATCTGTTTTAATAATTCCAAAGATTGCTGATTTGTAATCTTGAGATTATGTTTGTTGTTGAAAACTGTATTTCTTAAAGTTGTAAACTAGGTTTGCTATAGGTTGATAGTACTTATTAACCTTATGAAAATTAACCCACTATGACTTCAGCGATCAGGTTCAACTTAAACTAACAAAAAAAACTGCAGACTCTTAGAATTAGGAACATAACTAAAGGCATTCCTCATCATAAAAAGTTATTCTTTAAGCATAATAAAGTGACTAACAGATTAAATTTAAATTCAATGCAGAATCTTGATTTTCCTTGGAGCCAATAAGATAAAAAGCCCCAAGCATACAATATTTTTAAGAGTAGACAGAACTTATGTGAAGACTTAGGGTCCTGGGACACATACATGCCAGCAGCATAAGGAAAAAGGCATATTCTGGCCTTGAAAGGGAAATGTGGAAGGTGTCAAAGACAAGAAGATAATAAGAAGCAGGATATAAAGGAGATAAGAACAGTCCGGTATGAGGATTGGAGGTCAGGAACTCACAGTAAAGTGCTTTGAAGTCCAGAATCAGCAGTATGCATGTAAGGCATCTTTAAGGGTTCAGAACAGAAGAGGAATCCAACTCTTCTGTGTTGAACTGATTGGAATGAGGAACATCAGAGACTGTAAATTAAAGTACATGGTTTCTTTTCTCCCCT